GTGTTATAAAATCTTTTAAGCGTTTAATTTTTCCCTTTTGAAAAGAATCTAGAACCTTTGTCAGAAAATAATAATAATAATAATAACAAAAGTATAACAAAATAACAAAATTAAAAGAATTAAAATCAGGTATTATATAATCTATATTTCAGATTCACTAAATTAAATGATTTTTTTTTTCTTAAGATATTTTATCATGTGGGTTGCATGCTATATTTTTTATTGTATTTATCTTATACTAAAGTATAGTTTTTAAAAAATTTGACTTTTAAGTAATAATTATTAGTAGGACTGCACAATATACTTAGTTGTGTTAGGTGATAATATATATTTCATCACATGAATTAGGTTTGAATTAATAAAAAATAGAAAATAAATATTAGTGTCTCGATATCTTTTTACTTATTTTAAAACGTAGAATAAAAGTTAGTAATTGAATACTAATTTTTATTAAATGAAAAATTACTCCCCAAAAATTTAAGAAATTATTTTTTTTAAGTTGTTGGAAAATAAAAAAGTATTATTAAATAAAATAGAACTAAAAAATAAATGCATATTTAATTTTAGAGTACGTAAAAGAATTTTTTTTTGTTTTTTCTTAATTGATAATGAATTCAAATTGGTTTTATTCAACTGAAATTAATTTTAATAGACCATAAACCGATAAAATTTTCAATTACTCACTTCGATCTTTATAATTTAGGTTTCAAGCTTTTTATCACCGATACTTCTTTAACACCCTTGGTACTAGACCTATCTGATAAAGTTACAAATAAAATTATATTTAGTATTTTATCTTTTTTATTTTATATTTAATTTTTAAATAAATGTATGACAAGAATGAACACTTTACCAATACTTTTTTTAAATATAATAATTATTTTAATTTAAAATTATTTATTCATAAAATAATTAATCTTCGATCCCAAATATAATATTTTAAAAGTGTTAATAGCATAACATTATAACTTACAGTAAAATAAGCATTTATAGAAGTTACTACTAATTCATATATAATTTATAAGATTATTTTAAAATAAAAAACTATTAACTTGGTTCCAAAAAAATATATATATATATTAAACGAATGCATGTGATAAAATAGTATTAAAAATTGAACAATACTTAGCAAAACAAAACTAAATTATTATATATTTACTTTATTAAACCTTGGTGTTACATTTTAAAATATGTGACAAAAACAATATTTTATATTTGAATAGATTTTTTTTTTACTATTTATACATCTGTTTACAATACCTAATAGGTAATATTTAGTACGAAAACTAAAGTTAGTTTAGAAATTTACTAAAATAAGAAGGGTATTATTGTCCAAGGAAAAAAAATCTACAAAGCTTATGCTGCATATAGATTATTTGAAATTAGGTTAATTTAAAATTTAATTTCTTTAAATTTAGTATTTTTTGAGTACAATACATCACATATAAAAGGAGAAAATAGTGAAACTCGATAAAAAGTTATATGATATATGACTATTTAAGCTATAATCAAGGTTTAAATTTAAATTTTTATGATATTACACTAATGGAGATTTAATTTAATGGAGTAATAATAAATTGTGTGTCCATATGTATGAGTTATGAGTTGTTACCTTTCTTTGCGCTTCTCCAAAAATCTCTGAAGTGACCTTTTCCTTGCCAATGGAAGATCTGCGAACACACAATAATGAACCAAACACGCCAATTCATATCTAAAAATAAAACAAAAACGGCTTGTGGATAAGTATTATTTCTTCCAAATAATGTCTACATATGGAGGGGAAAAAATATATATATACATACATATATATATGTAAGATATGGGAGAGAAAAAATAAGGGTGTTTGACCATTTGAATATAATTCATCATATTTGAAAATTGTTTTCGGATTCTGTAATCCAGGTTAAAATTTTGAAAATAATGTTTTTAGTGTTTTAAGATTTTGAATTTGAAACTTTAAAATACAAAAAAGATAAATCTTATAATAAATATATTATTTTATGTCATAAATTCATTTCATTTTTCTTAAAATTAAAATAGGTAAAATATAACATATTATATAAAATAATAATTATACAAAATTTATAACGAAAATGTTATTAAATTAGTTAATATTATTTTAGATTAAACTAAATATTTAGTTGATAACTACCACTAATAATATATTGATAAACACACCTCACGTTGCATAATTTTTTATTCAAATTTGTTATCAAACACATATCTGAAAATACTAAAAACAAAAAAATCTTTTTTCAATGAATCATTGTTTTCAAAGGTTTCTATTTTTTATCACCAACCAAATCCAATCTAAAAATTTTAAACTAGATTAAAGGTCTGATGTGAGTTTAATCTTTGAACTTTTAAAATTGTGTATATTAAGTCAAAGGTCTCTAGACCCCTAACTTATTTTCACTCTCCTATCTCCTCTAATAACTGAAATGTTGTAAAATTGATTGGACACCGTATTGAAAATTTAGGAACTTATCAAGATTTGTAAATAAACCATATATGTACCCTGATCTTCAAGATTAGGATCAACGTCTACTAGTTGTTGGGACTCATTTGAAGGAATCTCAGCCGTTGATCTCCCTCTCTCACCCAGCTTGCCACTGCAGCTTCTCTTTTCAGCAAACGTCAAAATGCTTTCGGCCTAATACGGAATATGAATAACGGGTAAGGGAATTAATTTAAAAAAAAAGTAATTTCTTTTTTGAGATATTTGAAATTATGTATATTTTTAATAATAATTACAAATATAGTATTCCAAAAAGTGTCATAAATTTTTTTTTAATACTGCAAATTCCAAAAAGATAATTTAAAATTTTGTATTGTTATAAAAATTGTTAATCAACTTAAATAATTTACTTCTTTTTATAACAAATAATTTTCCTATTGGATAACTAAAATCACTTATTTATGAATTCTTTACGTTATATTTAAAATTATTTTTTAGTTGCTATTTTTTATAGTATTTTATCATGCTATATTTTTTTTAAATAAAATTATCATGCTAGACTTAGAGCTAGTATAAATTGGAGTTTTTTATTTTATTTTTTTATTTTTTTTAGTTCAACTAGCTTGAGCTATGGTATGGTTACTATTCAGGATAATTGTTGGAAAACCTTTTTCTTTTACCTTCTCTATAAGATGTTATTGAAAAGAAAAAGTATATTGATTTTTCAAAATGAATTATGAGGATGAGTCATACCCACTAATCTTTTCAATCATTTCCACTATTAGAGTAAAATATAGAAACTAAAAAAACGTGCTAAATATATTAATTATATATTCCTTTGCTAAAGGTACAAGTAAAGTAAAGAAAGGAATTTAAATTACGAATTAAAGTTTTAATTAACTTTAATCACATCTCATGAATAAATCAAATATTCATTTTCTTTTTATCCTCAAATCAAATATTAATTATACTTTAGATTTGTATACTATAAAATTCAACCCATACTATGGGTACAATATAAATCTATGACTAGTACTATGAAATAAATAAAAAAAGAGGTATAAATACCATAAAATAAATGTGTATTTTCAATTTTTAAATATAATATAAAGTTCAAAGTTTTATTAAAAAAAGCACCATTCAAATCAAACTTAAACTCAAATGTAATATAAATCATATCAAGAAAGCCAAATTTATGCTATATTTAAAAAATATATATAAAATAGTCTCATTTTTTAAAATAAATATTAAATTTATGCTATATGATATAATTTCTCACTACAAACCTCATCAACATGCTAAATTTAAAATTTCAACCAACAAAAAAAAACAGTCACATTTTTTAAAAATACATATTAAATTTATGCTATATGGCATAATTACTCAGTAAAAACCTCATCAACATGCTAAATTTAAAATTTCAACAAACAATCAATTAAAATTGCAAAGGATTAAAAATATGACAGAAATGTTAAAAAAAAACCTCACTAATTTAAATAATTTACATAAACTCATAGAGATGAATTCCAAAGAGTAAGAAAATTAGTACAATTTAAAATTGTAAATAATTAGTATTTTATTTTATTTTCTACTCTAAAAAAAGTTTTTTTTTTTTTTTTATTGGTCTCCTCAGACTCTGAATGATCTCGCAGTTGATTTTCCCCTAAAAATAAGCAAACGTGCAGGAAATGCTTTGAACAAAATACCTCCTCTCGAGAAACGTGGAAAACGGCAACGGTTTCGTTGTAGAAAATGGTTAGAGGAGCGTTCTGTGGAGTCATCCTGAAAACAAAAATTAATAAAAAAAAAAATTAAAAAAGTGACTCTAAAATGGAGTTTGAGAAATCAAATCAAGCAGCAAACGGTGCGATTTCATAGAATAATGGAGGATTTGAAGAATGCCTGGACCTGGAGGAGGTAGGGGAGAGATTGTGATCGGCAAATTCAGGAGTCGGAGGAGCGATCCGATTGCGGCAATCGGTGGTGCGATTTTCAGAGGCGATTACAGATTTCAGAATCTCAGGCTTGATCTTCGAAATGGCGCTCTGAATATCTGGAGGAGATGTAAAAGTAAAAGTAAAACCAAAACCTAGAAATCGAGCAAAAGAATGGAAGGGAAGTCCGGCGGAAGAAATTGAGTTTTGTCTGACCTTTGAGGCTTCTCTGGCGGCGGAAGAGAGTCTGCCGACGGGACCTGGAGGTGGCGGTGGTGGTGGCGTGATTTTCCATGGCGAAGAAATCCAATTCGACGACGGTTGGTGTGGACATATTTGGAGGAACAGAGAATGGATGATTGATTTTGGTTGTGGAGAAGACGAACTCTCTCACACTCCAATTGCAAAGGGGATGTTATATAGGGGCAGGGGCCTCACGGGGGTAATCTTGGAATTTCACCAAAACGCCGGAAGAAAATCTTCCTTCGGGCGGGCCGCTGAGAAATCGGTTTTTTTTTTTTTTATCAATATTATTAAAATTATACCTAATTATTAAAAAGGTCAAAATACTATTTTTGGTGTCTATATTTTCAGCGTGGTTCATTTTAGTTATGATACTTTGTAAATGTTCATTTTTATTTATGTAATTTAAACTTTGGTTAATTTCAGTTCCTATAATTTGAAAATATTCACTTTCGTCCCTGTATTTTAAAGAGAGATCATCTTAATCCTTCTTTGCAAAATTTTAACTTAACATAACGGAAACTCTTTAGTATAAAGTAATGTTAACATTTTAAAAATTATATTGATTTTAATATTATTGAATTGTGATAAAAAATGATCGTTTTTTAAAGTATAGGAACCAAAATGAATACAATTATTAAAATGAAACAAAATTGAAAGTACAATAACCAAAACGAATATTTTGAAAGTGTAGGGATCAAAACGAACAAAAATTGAAGGTATATAGACCAAAGTAGTATTTTAACCTAATTAAAATAATACAAATCCAAAACTAATGTTAATTTAATTATTAATATCAAGTTAATTGACAACTTTAGTTCTAAATTTTTGAATTTATATCTACGACCATAGGCCAAACATCTCAAATGCCTGAGAAGGTAATTAGGGACCGTTCGATTTTTGGGAATATAGATGTCTGACATCTTCAAATGCCTCGAATCTCACATGCCCGAAATTTTAGATGTTCGGAATTTCAGATAGCCACATAAAATTTATAAGGATATCTGAGACTATTTTGATATCCACGTTTATTTTGCGGGGCTTATTCGTGGGAATATTGTAAATTTATGTAATGTTCCAAAAATGCCCTTACCGGTCATCATATAATTTATATATCAAATTTAATATTATTTGAATTCATATAAAAATTTCATTTATTAATTTAATATTATATTTTTATGTCAATTTTAGTTTATGTTGGTGACGATTGGAAGAGTAAAATAAACGAAAAATTACACGCTATATTTGAACTAAAAATAAATTAAGATGTTATACCATTGACTAATGTTTATTTTATATCTAAATGTAGCATATAAATAAAATTGTATTTAGACATTTATCAATGAATTAGTGTATACATTTATTTTTAAAATAAAATAAAATAAAAGAGGAATAAATATTATTGGTTTGTGTGTCCCTTGCCGTTCTCGCTTAGTGAAGAAAAAATATTATAGAACAAAAATAATGATGGACAAAATTGTCAAAAAAAATACCTCAACACGGGAGTCTTAAAAACCCATGTTAGAGGAGGACATCTAAAATTGCTGAAATGCCTCCGGTATAGACATCCTAGGATGTCCGAATGTCTGGGTATCCAACATTCCTATCAAACAAACACGGGAATCTGGATGTCCATGTCGTGGGAATCTCAAATACTCATGAAACAAATGCCCTTCAAGGAGTTTTCAATACATTTTTCATTTTTTGTTTTCATTTTTTGTTTTTGTTTTTATTTTTGTTTTTTTTTTTAAATAAGTTTCAATACTATGTCTCATAAACATAAGTTTACAAGATTTACACAGTTTGGTATCTCCTCATTACATTTTTTTCCTTTATTTTTATTTTCTATATACATCAATTTTCTTTATTTTTTATTTTATAATTCTATAATTAAAATAAATTAATCTATTCATTCAAAGTAATGCATCCACTAAATTGTATAATATCTCAATTTATTTAGTTTGCCAATTCTCTAAAATTTTGTTGATGTTAAAAAAATTACAAGTAAAATAAAATTGATAAAGGAAAATATAGGAAAAAGAAAATTGAATAGCAAAAATATTATAATAAAATACCTTAAGCATTAGAATCTTTTAAACCTCTCAAAATTCGACACCTAAACCTACAACTACATGGGACTAAACTTATTCATATAAACATGTATTAATTATATCAATAAATAACAAATGTTTGTAAAAAAAAACAAAACAAAACAAATGTTTGTCAACTTTATGTTAAATAATTCACGGGCCGATAAGAAAAAATTATTTTGACAAAACTGTTTTTTTTTTTTTTTTTCGCTAATATTTGTTCAATTTAATGTTTGTAATTTTAAAATTTTCAATTTTGTTCCTTACATTTTAATATTTTCTAATTATACTCTTTTTTAAAAAATGCTTAAGTTGGCTAATAATAAGCTGAGATGAGATGATACTTAATTTGATAAGAATCATAAAGATGTATATTTAAGAAGAAAAGAGAATAGATTAGGGGCTAGTGACAAAACTATTGTCCAAACATCAAACTAATTATAAAAGAAGGGTCTCCCAATACGAAATAATAAATACGAGACTGTAATTACAAAAGAATTTTTTATGATTTGAGCCCAACCTATAAGCATTATGAGAGACATAATGAGAGTTGAGGGCTTCCAAAAGTCAATCATCCACTATATTTAGAAGACATAATAAGATATTCATATCGCTAAGAGTGAAAGATAACTCTCACCGTTAAACACTCACAAAAGTTTGGGCCCTCTCCTAGAAGGACAATGGTGGGTCCCTTCGAAATTGATAATTTCGGAAAGACTTTCAAGGGAGTTTTGTTCAGTAGGTGTGCTGCAAGTATTCTTTCACAAGTGCGACATTAGTCGAACTTCGATTCCGAGTCTTCTTAACTACTTGTACTAACAAACTAAAGGCGCTACACAGAAGTTAGTGTCTGCTTATTCTAACTACAATAACTATCGAGCAGTGACCCATCTGAAGAATGACACTTGTATATCTCTAGACGTGGATTTGTACTTTTTCCCTATTAAATGGTCCAAAGATTCCTTCTCCTTTTAAGCATAGGCAGGAGAGATAGAAGGGAAAGAGCCCAATTTGCACATTCCCGTTGAAGCTTCTATAAGTGTTTAGGCTTGTATAAGATAATGACCACGAGAAGAAATTCACTTTCTTTGGAATTTAAACCTACAAATCACCTTCATCAAAGGGGACTAAATCTTGGCAAATCAATTTTCTCTGGAAGAGCCATCTAACTACTCAACTCCGATTGAAAAGTCTTCTTCTAATTCCCAAGTCGTAAGTCAACTAATCGTTAATCCAACGCAGTCATTGAAAAAAGACTCTTTTTTCGAAGATGGTAAATAAATATCACGAAACCGTTGTCAGAGGTATTGAATCTCTATCGTGTGAATAGACATAAAATAACCAAGAAATTAAAAGAAAAATCCACTCTGTAAAAAATTATTACAATCACATATATCAAAGATAAATGTCAATTGGAATGAATAAAATCCAAGGCCATAGGCTCTTTAATTTTATATATAGCACTTGGAGCACACTCCTTCCTCGTATCTTTCTGACGTGGGACGAGTCCATTTGCCATTCGCAACTTTGAAACGAAAAGAAGAAGCATTATCATTGGAGGCAATGTCGTACCAAGGTCTCATGTCAATCTTCTTCCTAAGTAAATCTCCATGACCATTTCATCAAAAGGACCTCGTTTCCCTGTTTAAAAGAATTGATTTCTAGGCCACCATAAATGGTCAACCAACCAAGTGAGACCCTGATTTACACTCTCCATTCCACAAGAGGTTTCTGGTCTAACTTTTTCAAAGAGTTGATAACCTTGACCGAGCCCGTAAAAGAGAGAAATAATAGAGTAAATTAGTCAAATTTTCTACCAATTTTAATTTAAAAAAAAAATCTCTCTCTTAAAGCAATCCAAATTTCCCTAAACTCATTAAATATAATTTTAAAATATTAAATAAATAAATTAAAACTTTTTAAATTATAAGGACAATTTTTTTAAAAAAAAAAAGAAAAAAACCCCTCAAACATTGTCATTAAGACAGACATATACTTTAGCTTATAATTTTTTATAATCAAAATCTTTTATAGTGAGTATAAAAATACTACTGAATGACACTCATAACTTAGTTAAGCAATAATAAAAAAATTAATTCAAATTTCAAACAAATTCTACATCATTTTCATCATTAGTTCCTCAAATTTCCATCAACATCTCAACAAAATCAAACCTCGAGACCAGGTGTTTCATTTCCACATAGTTTATATGAAATCCGTATCCAAGCCTTTCTACAAAACTTCAAAACAAGATCAAATGATTCATCTTTTGCTTTTTTCTTCATTTAATAAAAAGAAATAATCAATTTCTCGTGGCAAGAGATGTGCAAATTGAATCTCAAGAACTGAACTGATAATGGAACTCACAAGAAATCATCGATACAAAGATCTTGGTAACTTATTTTACATATGGCATGTGCTAACCTATCATCATCATATACACTAAAATGAACTCTTCCACCCCCCTCTTTTCTTGAGCTTTTATTGCAGAGCTGCTAAAAATCATCCTTGGCTTTTCGAATGATACCCAAGACCTCGGCATCATTCGCTGTATTGGGAACTTTTAACGAATGCCGAATTTCTGTACTTGAAGTACGAAGGAATGGATTGCACATCTTCTCCATCTTTAATGTAGCTGGAATCTGGGATTTTACAGAATCAGAGTAGAAAGCATTACTAAAGGCAGTGGAAGAATATATCATATGGAGCGCTAATGGTATTGGGTTTGAGGTGCTTCTGAGTGCATCTTCACAAGCTCACATCCAATATAGAGTAATGCATCAACTGAAAGTGCTTTTTTGTAACTTAAATTGGGAGGAAAGCTTCATCATTTGTATATTTCATAATTGTTTCTCATCAAAAAAAAAAAAAAAAACACATCAAGAAACAATAGATTAAGCCGCGTACCATGCTGAATTGAACACACCATACTACTCCAATTAACAATTATAATGTGAAGTTCTGATTAATTCTACAAACAGGAAGTGATGGTTGGTTTCATTTTCAATTCAAACGAAAGGGATAAGAAAGGGTTCTCAAACTAGATGAAAGTCACAAAATTCACGATAGCTACCATGTGTGATGTGTCAGATAGGGTTGCAAACAAAAAAAATCCAGTAGAAATCTCCATTAGAAGGTTGAGAACTCTTTTTCTTATGGACATGACTTATGTTTGAGAATGGCATGCCTTCATGGTGGAAAATGATCATATGCAGAATGACATTGAACTTATTAGTCACAATATGTTTCCAAAATTTACACAAATAGGAAGTAATTTGTCTAGTAACCAATTTAAATATCAAATGATCACCCATGAGAGAATAGCCAAAACTTTACCGTTGGCAGGCCCTTGCTCCGTAGATGGGCAACCTGACTTGCATAAGATTTGAGAGCCTCGTTCTTAGGTTCAATGGACAAAGCAAACTTAGAATTACTCTGCCAAATGGTAATCTTATAATTAGGCATAAGAAATTTAAGCTTCAAAAAACGGAGTATTTTCTAAAAGGGGTAAAAAGTTAGTACGTTACTGACCAAAGTATACTCATGACCGCAAAATATGTTTGTATCATCTGGCAAAGAAGTGATCTTTTTAAGGGAAGACAGCATCTGTAACAGGCATGCTAAACAATTAGAATGCTCCAAATAAAATAACAACCTCAAAGCAATTATTACTTAGTACTAGCATTCAGCAGCATTAGTTTACTTCACTTTTAGCAACATTAGTTTTTCTATAGAGATCTCATAGGAACTAAGAAATCATATTCAGTGACTACCTTGAATTTAGTACACGTCACTTAAACATTTCCGTGTGTGAATCACTCAGAAGAAGCCTTACTGAGAAAGATGACTAAATCAACCTCTACAATGAAAATCATTCATGAAACCTTGTTTTTTGGTCAAAGTATTAAATCCGTAAATCTTCTACTTCTACTAAATCACTATTACAACATAGATCCTCGTGCATGACCAGTGACATTTGGGCAAGATAACCTTGCCGACATTCTTTAAAATAATGGGATTTGCTTGCTGTTCCAGCATGTATAATTGATCTAAATGTCTTAGATACAGGAGTTCATCAGTCTCTCGTCCAAATACTTGTACTATATTAGTCTAGAACATCCGTGTATAACCAACTCTAGAGAATGGAATGGAGTGATATGAAGCATTCTCTCATAATATAATGGCTATGTTGGTCTACATGGTATCAAAGCCTAGAATTTTTCCAAGGGCATGTATATTGATGTAAATGTCTTAGTCATAAGAATCATGTCTCTTGTTCTTTATTTTAAACTTTCATACACAAATATGAATCATCAGTCTTTTGTCGTCCATTGTAAATTTACACTATATTAGTTTAGGACTTCCATACATATCTCTCTATACATAGCGTATTTCATTCTATTATCTTATGATAATTTGACAAAATGGTCCCAACTTATCATAATTACTCCAAATCCTCTATCTTTGGCATCAGCATCAGTGAGGAGTCGGTCCAATCAGCTGCTGTTAAGTGGGGTTGCAATGCAGGCACTTGCCATGCTCTTATTTGGGAACACCTCTGGGAAGTGCCGCAAATAGGGCTAATTTTTGGGACCCAACTGATGAAAAATTTCAGAATAAGCTGAAAAGATGGAAGAACTTTAAATTCTCAAGATGGGGGAAGGTAACGTTGATAAATGCAGTGTTGTCTAACTTGCCAATATACTTCTTGTCAGTTTTTAAATGGCCAGTTAAGCAGGTGTAAAGATGGGAGAAACTTCTGAGAGACTTCTTCTAGAAAGGAAGTCAGAAAGCAAACGGGGGTATAACCCAGCCAACTGATCCACAACTTCCCTCCCTATTCTAAGTGGAGTCCTTGGAGTGATAAATCTCAAGATAAAAATGTGGCTCTCTCGGCCAAATGGGGTTGGAGATATATGAATGAGGAAAATGCTCTTTGGAGGGTCTTGCTAGCAAATACGCTGCAACTGAAAGGAAATTCCTTCCCTATCCAAAAGCACATTACAGATTCAAGGGGTGCCCTCAAAATAAAAATATAGGATCCCGGCATTCCGCAAGCTTAAAGTACTACATTTATGTAATATCCAATTAAATGAAAAATGTAAGGCAAACTAACCTGTTCAGGAGTGCCCTCAAAAAGCTTGCCACACGATAAGCTGAATAAAGTATCTCCAGTAAATATTGCTGCTGATCCAGGAAAATAGAAGCTAATATGACCTGAATTCAGTTTAAATGGGAAACAAAAAATCAGGTTGAAAAGCCTTTTTAGTGTATTTTAAACAATTATTTGTGCATAGGAAACAGGCTTCATTCGTACCAACCAAAAAAAGTATACATAAAGGGCTCCCACAAGGGAAAAAAAAGTAGCTTACAAGCTACAAAATCTATAACTATCCCAATTGGCCAAAATAAAAATAAATAAATAAATAATGATAATAATAATTAGAATTTTTTTGGTGACAGCATCATAAGGATGGTGAAAACCTCACTAACCCCCAATATAAATATCCTCTGTATGTGTCCTCAAAAGGTGGTTCTATTTCTCATTTTTATTATCAGTAGGTTCCATTTCTCGTCATCCAAATATTCCAATACAAGCCTTCATTATGTTGATTAAAATAATATTAGCATTACAATTGAGATGGTGACAACAAAGCTGTTCGAGCAAATCATGCACACTGTTGAGGAAACACCTCCAAAATCCAAATGACTAAAGAATAGTGCAGCAATAATGATAGGAGATGAGACCATGCAACAAGAAAATATTTAATTTCTCAAGGTTTCTATTGCAAAAGGTGTACCAACAGGGAGATGAGAGAATTAAAAATACATCTTTGAATAATTCCATAAGAGTCAATATCTAGTCAATATCTTCCAAGGAGATGCCCAGGCATCACATATATAGATGTGCAAGTATGCTTTTGGCAAATTCTAAAATTAAGATTGGAAATGGATAAAACACACTTCTGTGGCATCATGAATGGGATCCTAGAGGAAAGTAGAAAACACGCTTCCAACAATTCTGCACACTAGCTTCCAGTCACTACGGTACTATCAACAATGTACAGAATCCGAATCCCATTTCTCTGTCATGGAATATATCCCTTCAAACACCTTTATTGGACTGAGAAATGGAAGATTGACGCTTGCTTTATTGGATGAGAAACAGAAGATTAGCGCAAGATTCACAATATGCTCCTAGATGTTTCAAGGGGTAATTCTTTTTTCTTTTGAGGAGAAAACCAAACTTTCATTGAAAATAATGACACAAGAAA